CATATTGTAAAAGTTAACTATAACCGAATAAAAGGAGCCGGCCAAGAGGCCACCTTAACACCAAAAAAAAAAAAAAACTTTATTTTAAAAATTTTTAGTATACTACTAATAGTATATTATTTAAATAATTTTTTTTTAGTATTAAGGTAAGTTATACTTTATATCTTTATTAGATATATAATGTAGTAATTGCCTTATGATTATATATCTATTATTAAGAATACAAGTTTAAATAAATTTATCTATAATTTAAATCTACTAGAGTATACTATGTTTCTATTATATATTAGGTTATATATATTTGAATTTGGTATTTTAACTACTTTTAGTTATTTACTATATTTACTTTATATCTTATCATTAAACCTTGATTATTTTCAAATTGGTTTTTTTAAAAAATCAGTTTTTAATAGGCTTTCAATTTATTATACCTGTTATTAGATACTTTTACTAGTATATACTTTTTTAACAAATGGTCTCTTGTATATATTTTTAAGCCAAATATCTACTGCTACTACTAGTTCTATATGAGAAGTATTGGTATCATATTTTGGTTTAAGAACTTATCTTGTATTTGTACTAACTCATATTGGTTTGTATTTTTCTATATAATATTTTTATTATATGAATATTTTGATTCTTCTACTTATTTCTCCAAATATACTAATTTCATATTTCAAGCTAAACCCTACTGCTACTACCAATTTGCTATCTCTAGGTCTTAATATTTTCTTAGTTATCTAGTGTAGTATATATCTTTATTCTCTATATACTCTTTTATGTATTTACTAGAATTATAATTTGTAAAAACTCTCTGAGTTGTACTAACAATCACAAGACTACATACTTCTAGCTATTGGCTTTTAAAATTTGCTTTAATAATTTATCTTGTTAAAGACTAGTTTAATATTACAAAATTATTTAAGTGACAAGCTAATCACTTCTAGCTATTTCTAGTTAATATAATATTTTTGCTAATAAATCTTAACTCTTTTTATCATAAATTTTCATATAAATACAACTAGAGCTCTGATTTGATATATTTAGATATACAGAGATAGGTTATTTTTCTTTATACCAAGTAGCCTTTTATAGTTATCCTATTGATATTAAAGTACTTTTAATTCTAGTTAAAATATAATTTTTTATCATAGTCTATAATTGTATATTATTTTGCTTCTTTACAATATGCATATCTAGTTATACTATATAATCATTTAGATTCAGTATTGGCACTTGGTATATATACATATTTTTTAAAAAATTTGAACTATATCTAAACCTATATGTCTATATCTATAAATTACTATATCTATATTTGTCTATATTTTTTTTAATAAATCCAAATATCTATATTGCCCAACACTGTTTGGATTAAAGCAATTTTTTATTTATATCAATATATTAAATAATTGTTATATACTGTTTATTGCTATATTTATAGACATATATACATACTATATATATATATATATATATGTATATAGCTATTCTTTTTTCAGCCAATTTTCTAAGTATATAGCCAAATTTATTTATTTGATTTAAGCAAGATCCAGTATCAATAATATATTAAATAAGTATTACAAAGCTAAAATATACAAATCTTATTTAATAAGATTTGTATATTTTAGTTTTGCAGTACTTAAATATAGTATAATTTAAATAAATATCATTTTCTTTGAATGCTAACAACTTTAAGTTCAAAACAACAGGCTGTTTTGTGAAGCAGAACATCTAAATTATTAAATATATAGATTCGAGTCCTAAAGACAAATTCGGTTTGCAATTCAAAGCAACTCTCTAATGTAATTTTATTATTAAATTCATAACTATTGAAATATCTTTTTTATTTAGTATATTTTAATAATTTTGACTAAACTTTCAATACTGCATATTGATATACTATTAAGTTTTTGTATATTTTAAACTAATCTATATATTTTTAGAACTGGACAAGATATTAATTACAAAGATCCCTAGGGGTTTACTAATTTTCTCCAAGTTCCTATTGGCTAAAATTATTCATACCAAATTATATGTCGTTTTATTCTTGAAAAGTTAGATTAGTATCAGAATTAATAAATAATATTATACCAAATCTTGCAGGAAAATTTTTTTGTTAGTATACAAAAGGTGATTTTTTAGGCAAAATTTTGAGATAAATAAGCTTTTTTTTATTCTCTAATTCGCTATAGATATACTGTATTATATTATTAAAAATCGTTAATTTTAGAAATATGATTTATACATGACTAACAGTAACTTGAGGAAATTAGTGAACCCAATATCTAATATTTATATTGAAAAATTAGATCATGTATTATTTGTATTGGTATAATCTATTTTATCTTGGTAATCAATTTAAGTAAATTTTAAATATAAAATTAATGAATAATTTAAACAAAATAATAAATAATAAAATAATAAAGCACATAAAATAAGATTTTATAATAATTTTATTTAATTATTATATATCAACTATTATAATTCAATTATGCAACCATTACAATTCAATATTTTTAGGAATTCTGCGATACGATTTATATTTTTTTACTGCAAATTTGACAACAAAAGGAATTAATCCTTTCTATAGGCATCCATATACCTCTATACTTTTCTTGCAAACTTTCTAATTATTATAATATCTACAAAATTAAAAGCCTCTAGTATAGTTTTTTTTAATTTTGAAAAGTATAATTACAGTGGCTTCTTGCATATCTTTTTATTGTCCCCAATAATATTTGATATAGTTCAATTCCAGATGAAACTTAAAATAAAAAAAAAATTTGTGATCTTGTTTAAGTACTATTTTCTTAAGAATATTTTTTTGTTTTATAAAGTCTGGCTGCCTAGCCAATTTTTTTTTATTATAGCATATTTTTGTTTTATTTTTTGAGTATTTAATGCATTTGCCTCTTAATTGTTATTCTATATTCCTCCTTCTGTTATTATCACTTTAATTTTTTTTGTTAAGCCTCTTTTTTTTCGTCTAGATGATTTAATAGAAAGATCATTTCTTGAAACATATCATCAGAAAATTAATCAGAGCATATTTTGATTGTTTACTACTATAATTAATATTTATTCTGTTTACTATTAATGTATCTTTAGCAAAGGCTTCATGGCTAGAACTATTATCAAACCCAAAACTAATATCATATCTGAAAGTACAATTTTCAAAATATCAATTGTTTGTTCAATTTGCTTAGCTAGCAATTGAATATTCCAATAACTTTTATAATTTGCTTTATTTCTAATAACTCTATAATGTAACATTTTGAAATTTCAGGATAAGCTACATGCTGTTTTTTAGTTAAATGAACTTTATCTAATGGTTTATACAAAAATTCATTAATATAAATATACTAGCTCTGTCCTTTTTAATATAATTTATATTTATTTATAAATAATTAAAATAAAAAATTATAAAAAAAAGCATAAATACTTAAAAATTCAAAGTTTAAGACAAATAATACTCGAAATTCATCTTATAATATAAACAAATCTTTGGGGCCTTATTCTGTTTTTTCATTATTATTTGCAGCTAATGTTGTCTTATCATATATTATTATACAATATTTCTTTTTTCAGATAAATATTCTTTTTTACTAGTTTAGTAAGATCTTGATCATTATATTCAAGAAAAACAGAATTTAATTCCTTTATCATTAGCAAAAAAACTGTTTGTCTATATTGTATCATATTCTCTCACTCATGTCTATCTATATATATCTTTTCTCCACTTTTTACACTCCCAACCTAATTTTCTAAGCTATTTTCATATCATTTTTTCACATATTGTTGTTTTTTTTTAATATCTAAGAATAAGAATACTTTATTCTCTATATACTGTTTTAAAACTTTAAGATTTATATTAAATTTGTGATTTTTTAAATACGATATTATCTGTTTAAATATAATTGTTCTAAGTTACAAAGAATTAAGACATATAAAAAAATTTGCTATAAAAAAACAAAATATATTTTTATAGATATTTTCTCATTATCAAGAAGGCTTAATAACTTTGTGAATTTGTTATAATTATCTTTAAAATGCTTTCATCACTTTAACCAATTTTGTGTTCATGTATTAATATATCATACTTTATAATCTTCTTATTCCAATGAACTAGCAATCATTGTGCTTGCCCTTATTTTAGTCTGATTATGATAGTACCTTAATTATAATATTGCAATGATACTTGCAAATGAACCCTTACACCTTTATCTATTTGATTGTTATTTGTTTTTAACAACCCATCTAGCTCCTCAATTGCTAACCTTATTTTTGTTTTCTCATTAATTTTAGCTAATATATCTGCTGTTAGTTCTATCAATTCTGCTATCATTGATTTTACTAATTCTGCTTCTATTAATCCTACCAATTCTATCTCTATTGATTCTACCAATTCTGTCTCTATTGATTCCACCAATTCTGCTTCTATTAATTTTACCAATTCTATTTTCATTGATTCTACCAATTTCATCTCTATTGATTTTACCAATTCCATCTCAATTGATTTTACCTCTATTAATTCACTTTCTATTAATTTTATTTTAGTTAGTATACATAGTTCTGTTGACAATCCAAAGGTAGAAGTCAAAGCTAAGACAATATTAGAAGATATTAAGATAGGAGCTAAGTACATAGTGATAGGTTGAGTATTTTGTATAACCTTCTTTAGTTCTACTTTTTTGTATCTTTGAGTTCTTTTAGAACCTCCAACATATATTGTTTTGCCTGAAGGTTTTTAAACATTTATATTTTTACCTGCTATTAATAAAACAGCAAAATAATTAGAAGCTCTTTCATCAATATTATTATTTAACCAAATATAGTTATCCAAATTTTCATAATTTGTATGCTTTGCATACTTATTGGCCCCAGTAGCTTTAAGTTGCTGTCTTTGTTTGTTTGGATAGGTAATAGTAACAAAAATAAAATGAGTAAATTAAAGTAAAATTCTAATTGTCCTAATCAAAACTTGTGATCAGGATTAAGTTAATTTGAAGTATAGATTAATTATTAGATAGTTTCAACATTCTTTTTATTTATTTATTTATTATTATTATTTTTTTTATTTTTATTTTATTTTATTTTATTTATTTATTTATTTTATTTTATTTTTTTAAT